AATCTGAGCACTTTGGGGGGCCAAAGCGGGTGGTTCACATGAGGTCAGGAGTTTGAGAGCAGCCGGGCCAACATGGTGAAACCCTGTCTCTACTACAAATACAAAAATTGGCCTGGCATGATGGCATGTGCTTGTAATCCCAACTACTTGGGAGACTGAGGCAGGAGAATCACTTGAACCCAGAGGCAGAGGTGGCAGTGTGCCAAAACTGTGCCAATGCTCTCTAGCCTTGGTAGCAGAGCAAGGCTCTGTCTCCCAAAAAAAAAAAAAAAAAAAAAAAAGAAATTAGAAAGATTATCCGGAAATAATCTGATAGCATTTTCCATGAATGAATTTCAAACCAAGATCTGACCAAATCCAAGCCCACGTTTTTTTTTTGTTTGTTTGTTTTGTTTTTGTTTTTGTTTTTTGAGACTGAGTCTCCTCTGTCATCCAGGCTGAAGAACAGTGGCACAATCTCAGCTGACTGCAACCTCTGCCTCTGGGACTCAAGCGATTCTCCCACCTCAGTCTCCCAAGTAGCTGAGATTGCAGGTGTGCGCTACCATGCCCGGCTAATTTTTTGTAGTTTTAGTAGAGATGGGGTTTCAGCATGTTGGCCAGGCTGGTCTCGAACTCTAAACCTCAGGTGATCTGCCCACCTCCGCCTCCCAAAGTGCTGGGATTACAGGCGTGAGCCACCATGCCTGGCCCCAAGCCCATGTTTTTAGCCATTGTGCTGCTATACAGTGTTCCGCCTGAGTCTGGAGTGACCAAATACCTGAGTGCTATTAGAAATTTTCAGTAAATTGCATAAATTAGGACAGTCTTAAGCTAAGTGATCACTCTGCTTTTACTCCATTTCCAATCTATTATCAATCACGCACATTTTGCCACACTGCAAAGCATACTTTATAGTAGGTCTTCTCAGCACCTGCATGAAAGTTTTGGTTGGGCGAATGCATGTTGGCCCTTTTGGATATTAGGATTGAGATTTGTCTTACCTGCTATAATATCTATCTTGATTTTCCATTCTGCAGCTTTCTTTTGAACATGCTGAACATAAACAATATGTTGTTATGAGCTGATTTTTAATGATTTTTTAAAATTGCTTTTTACTAATAATTGAGATTGAGTTTTTAAGCTTAAAATTTCATTAGAATTTGGACCCTTATAAAAATTTCAATTGAATGGATAGTAGTCTGAAAATAAGAAATCAATTTCAATATATTTAACAATCTGAACCAAATCATACAATAAATCCAAGTGATAGAAAGCTACTCATGCACCATATAATGCCATTTGGGGTTATCTAGGGACTGCATATATTTCGGTAGTCCCATAAAATTATAAATGGAGCTGAAAAATTGCTATTGCCTAGTGATGTAGCTATCTTGACATCATAGCACAACACATTACCTTCTTGGTATTTATATATGTTTAGATTAAAAAAATACCATTGTGTTACAGTTACCTGTAGTATTCAATACAGTAACAGGTTGACAGGTTTGTAGCCTAGGAACAATAGACTAACCACAGAGCCTCAGTGGTCCACTCTATGTCTGCACAATGGTGAAATCACCTCAGGATGCATTTCTTAGAATACATTTGTCAGAACATATCCCTGTTGTTAAAGGATGCATGACTATTTCAGAAATCTATCAAAGATGTGTAATGTTCTCATATGGTTTCTGTAGCATTATTTCATTAATATATACAGCTAGGTATCCTAGAAACCATTTGGCAGAGATCTGTGTACATGGGTAATTCAGTTCATGCAGTAAAACTGAGTTTTATAAAATCTATGTTATGCCAAGACTATACTTTCAGGGATCATTTCTATAGTTCATCACTAGAGAAGTTTCTCTGAAAGTGTAAAGCACCGTATCGTGAAAATGGCCATACTGCCCAAGATAGTTTATAGATTTAATGCTATCCCCATCAAGCTACCACTGACTTTCTTCACAGAATTGGAAAAAACTACTTTACATTTCATATGGAACCAAAAGAGCCCACATGGCCAAGACAATCCTAAGCAAAAAGAACAAAGCTGGAGGCACCATGCTACCTGACTTCAAATGATACAAGGCTACAGTAACCAAAATAGCATGGTACTGGTACCAAAACATATATAGACCAATGGAACAGAACACAGGCCTCAGAAATGACACCACACATCTACAACCATCTGATCTTTGACAAACCTGACAAAAACAAGCAAAGGGAAAAGGATTCCCTATTTAATAAGTGGTGCTGGGAAAACTGGCTAGCCATATGTAGAAAGCTGAAATTGGATCCATTCCTTACACCTTATACAAACATTAACTCAAGATGGATTAAAGACTTAAATGTAAGACCCAAAACCATAAAAGCTCTAGAAGAAAATGTAGGCGATACCATTCAGGACATAGGCATGGGCAAAGATTTCATGAGTAAAACACCAAAAGCAATGGCAACAAAAGCCAAAACTGACAAATGGGATCTAATTAAACTAAAGAGCTTATGCACAGCAAA